TGTTTGATTTTTTTCTTTTTTTCTGGGGATGGTTGCTGCTTTGAAGTGAGCCAGTCATTCAAAGTACAGAAGTTTGAAAAGTGGAGGAGCTGAATGTTCCAGGAGGTTTTGTCGATTTGTTTGGGCTTGGTTCTGTGTTTTTTTGGTTTGCATGGTGGGTTGTTTTTTTGGTTTGGTTTTTTTTTTGTGGGTTTTTTTTTTTATTTGCTGGGTTTTGTTGTTGTTTTTTTTAATTTGTTTGTTAGTTTGTTTGAGCCTGCAGTTTGTGGATTCCTGTGCATGGTATTTAGAAAGTCTGTGGTCAGCAGGCTTGAGTTCATTATACAAACTTTAAATCTCCATTGGAAGAACATTTCTTTGACCTTTTCTGACTTGCTAACTTGGAAAAAAAACACCCCCAAACAGTGTTGCTGCAGAGGATGATAAGAAACCTGCCATATTCTGTAACAGTGTATTACAGTGTTTCTGACCCCTGTAGGCAGTCAGGGCTCCCTTGAAAGCCTGAAGGTTGCTGTGGTACTGTGAATGGTGGTACTTTGGGTAACATCCAGCTGTGAGTGAGACCCAGCAACTGGATTTCTCTTTCAAGGATGATCACCACTGTATGTTAACCATATCTAAAACTGAAAATGAAAGATTTTGACTCATTTTTATCACCTCTCCATTTCAACCCACCCTCAAAATATCACCTTGTTTTGAAGACTGGGTGCACAAGTATTTGGTGTCTGTCTGAGTCACTTTCTTAAAAATTACATTTTTAAAATATTTTTTATTAATTATTTTTTAAATAAAATCCAGTTTGTGGTATCTTTTAGTCTGATTTAGTCATGCCCGGGTATAACTAGCTAACTGTTGTAAGTGGAAGAGGCTTTGATTAGCTTGCTTGGTTAAGCTTGCATACTTCTATTTGAACAGTCAGCTATAGGAATTTTCTAGAAACATTGAATGGTTTGGGTTGGAAGGCACCTTACAGATCATCTAGTTCCAGCCCTCTGCCATGGGACAGGTGGTATCTTTCAGAACCTTGCTGAGAAATCTGGGATGAACCTGGAAAAGGTGGGAATAGCCCTATGGTCTACTTGCAGGGGTCCCTGGATTGGAGGAGGTGTCCCCAGCCTGGACAGAGCAGTCACCTGTTGGCCAGTCCGGCTGGATGGGGTTGTGGATCCTCTTAGTGCTGTCTGGTACCCCTCGGGTCCTTGTTGTTTTTTCACTCCCTTTTGCCTCAGGTATGGGTCTGCCTTTCCAAAGGGGTTTTACTAAGGCTCTGGCCGTAATCCGAGGTTCAGACCCTCAGGTAAGATGTGCCTTCACTTTTCAGTGGCTGCTCCATCTGTACATGGCCTTCATGTGCTGCTGCAGCTTATGCAGGCTTTGTACCATGCAGTGGCTAGGTGGTGGAGGAGGTGGTTGGTAGGCAGCTATGCAGGCAGGGGTTAAGGGACGCCTTTTGCTTCCCACTCTGTCTACATGCTGCTTTTATGGAATTCTTCATCTGTTCTGCTTATTCCTGCTTGGCAGGTCTCGTGCAAATACACAGAGCTGGATCTTGTGAGCAAAGGGACTTGGTTTTCCTTCTGGGAGTCTGAAATGCACAAATTGTTTTGCTCTGTCTTTGCCTTTAATGTCTTAGTCTTTAGACTTTGTTGGCATGTTTGTTAGTTATCTGTAGTGGCAGATCACTGGCTGTTAGCTATCCTACTTCAGGTGAGTACAATAAAAGAAGGAATTGATCAGACAGACTGATAATGTATTGATATGGGAAATAAGTGTGCTATATGTTAATTTTCTTGAATATTTCAGAGCCTAAACCATCTCCCTCTTGATGAAGTATTGCTAAGTTGGCAAAACAGAAGAATGAAATCTGCTGTTCAAAAATCTGGAATTTTATGCTTTACCAAATGTAGAGCATTATGCACATGATACAGCATCTAATTTTCGCATCTGTAGTAAACATTCATGAACGATGTATTCCTTCGTGTTGAGTGAAATAATTTTCTTACCCATAAAATTGTGAATGTATTTTACTTTCAACTCAGATTAACTGTGCCAAACCAGATGTTTCCTGGAAAACAGCATGTACAAATACATTTCCATGTAAATGTACTTACTGAGCTGATTTGCTTCTCTCTCCTCCAGAATACATGTATGTGTATATCCATGATAGAAAGTTAAAAAGTTTTTATTTTTAAACTGATGAGCAAGGGAATATCAGTTTTACAACAGAGGTAATGTTTTGGGTCTGCGCTGTTTGAATGGAAGATCTTTCTTTGGGTTTCATCTCTTTCCCCTGCATTTTGCCTTTCCTTCTGTTGAGTATAAAAATATATTCCCAATGAGTATAAATTACTTAAGGGCAAACAACGCTGGATTTTCTAGAGAGAGCAATGTATTGCAGTCAAACATTCCTTAGGGAAATCAATGCTTTCTTGCCTGCTTGTTTTTAATAGCTGAAAACAGTGGAAGAGTTCCTGAAGCTGCTGGATTTGTGTACTCAGTAGGCATATCAGCACTCCTTTAATGTGGTTTTGCGCCTGTGCTTTAACCTGCATATTGAACTAATTGTTCTTCCTTTGAACAATATGCTTTGCTTTTAGCTCTGAAAACTGAGCTAAATAGCCAGTCCCATATATTTACCAGTAGTTAAATTCCAGTGCAAGTTGTTACTGCTGGTAATACAGACAACTTTCTCTATTTCTGACCACTAGGAGAAAAATGCCAATTATTTTATTCAAGTAACACTTGAAATGACTCACTATATCTTGCAGTGCTATGTTTAGTATTTTTCCATGTTTTCAAGTGTACCAGCTAATATTCTTACAGTGAAGAACAGGATACGAATGACTTCATGGCAGGATCCAATACACCTTATTTGAAATGTAGTCTTTTATTCCAGTAAGCAAAAGTAAATAAATTATCTTGCTTTTAGGTGATGTGTCAGTGCTGATCTTCTCCATTTTCCATCTCTCATTTTTGCCACTCTGGAGATCTGTAGCTGTTGGTTTTTCAGGGGATCTGTGTAAGGTGAGGCAGCTGTGTACTTCTCAGGTGCTCCTCTTCGGATGGCACAGCAGGAGAATAGTCTGTTCCAGATGTATGCATTTCTGCAATTCCTAGGTTTTTATTGGAAATTTGTGCATATCTCTGTGTGTCTTAGTCTATTGCATCTTGATTTCTTTTGCTTAACAACGAAAGTGCATAGTCTCTCCCCATGCCTTTACTTTTTCTATTGACCTTACTTCAGCTGTATGTGGCCCCATGGGTGTCTGCTGGAGCTCTACTGCATGTGTCAGTTTGCTCAAGTAGCTGAGGTTTCCTTAGGCAAGAATGTCAAGCATTGGACCTGTGCAGTTATGCACGCTTCTTTTGGTTTGCTTTGGGGTTTTTTGTGGGTGTTTATGTTTGTTTGTGCTGTTTGGTTTGGGGTTTTTTGTGTGTGTATGTGTGCGTGTATGTACACAAAGACGCAGTATTTTCAGGAATCCACGTTTTACTCTTAGGCTCCGTAGGTACCCCATTCCCAAATACAAACAAATTCATGGACTTTTCAGATGAACACATAGATTTGAGATCTTCACCAGTCTGACAGTATTGTGCATTCCCTGCTGAGAAAAGAACATGGGTTATATCTTAAACAGAATGCAAAGGGGATTTTGCAGAGGGTGTACGTGAAGACTTAGGTACAGGTGATCTGTTAAAGGACTGAAGTGCTGGATGTACAGTAGAATTAGCATTTCTGGTACCTGCTAGCTTCTGGCATCACTTTCTTCCCCTGTGATTACAGTCTATGTGCATGTGTAAACCCTTTGAGAGTTGCTATGATGTATTAACTTCTAAATACATCACAACCTGTGAATTTCATCTGTAGGGAAGAAGTTGGTTTATTTAAAAGAAAGTATCTTGAGAGGCTGTACAAGATATTAGTAGTAAATGTACCCATTTCAGATTTAGGTAGTGCCTTTTGACGTATCTATCTGTACTTGCCGTCTGATTCATCTACTGTGCTCATCTTTGTGGGCTTTTGTCTGCAGGAGTACAAAAAGAAAAAAACATTGATCTCGGTGTACAAGAGAGCAATCTATTACGAACTGTGCCCAAGGTTCCCAGTGGAGTTTGAGGATTCATTGAGCTACCTGCTATTACACTCATTAAGAGCAGATTTTATCATGTCACAGGATGAACATAGCCTATTTCAAACAGAATTGCGACTGCCCTTTGCTCACACTTTTATATTAAGATGGGCTGTTTTGCAGAAGCAACCCAAGTCTCATAGCAACCAGTAGTACCCTTGGTACTGCTCATTCGTTAAAGCAAGGTTATTTGTTTTTAGTTAGGATCAGACACAGCAGCTGAGGATCAAAACCAGCATCACTTAATGTAATTTACCATTGTATTCACAGAGTGTCTGCTAATTTTTTTATTTTTATTTTATTTAGATTATCCTTAAAGTAATTTGGTTCAATCTGATTTATTTATCTTTAAACCTGGAAGCAAAAGTTAAAATAATATTGTCAGAGGGAGTAAGTTGAAACTGCCTGAGTTTTGGAATCAAAGTGCAAATTGCTCCTGAAAAAGTGAGACTAGGCTTATTTTCTGACTAAAAGAGGTAACGAGGAATTTATCCTCCATCTGTAGACCAGTGTTATCTGACCAAGTTTGGGTGTAATATAGGATAAAAGCATGACTGGTTTGTTCTGTTTATTGCAGCTTTTCATTATATTGTGAGGAATATTCAAGGCTTCCCCCTGAAGTCCGTGTGAAGCTTTATGTACAGGGTGATGGCACAAGATGGCCTTTCTTGGTCTTTCAGATTCAAGTATTTAGACAGTGTGCCTTCCTGCCTGGGTGTAGTCCCTTCAGCGGAGAGCTGTTTTGTTACTGCAGTAAAAGTTTCATTGTATGTATAAAGTAGCTGTATTGGAGGATGTAATCTGATGTGAGTATTTTAATTTGCAGGTTTTCACACTGCTGTGGTTCTTTGGGCTGGTGTTTTTGCTGAAATGGTAGGACTAGGAAACAGCTGCCGAGGGATGAAGTCTCCACCTCTCCTCGTAGCTGCGCTTGTGGCGTGCATCATTGTTTTGGGTTTCAATTACTGGGTTGCAAGTTCTCGCAGCGTGGATCTGCAGGTAACTTTCCTATTGCTCTGCATGTTCTCCTGTACTTCTGTGGTTAAAAATACAGTCCACAGGAAGGATGCTTGCCGTGCATGTAGTGGGCAAGGAGCTTCAGCATGTTGTAGGAATTCTCACAAATATTACAGTTGTTGCTTATCAGTAGTGGGAGATGGGGGTAATGAGAGGAATGCTGATTTTCAGGTGAGGGGAACCCAGAACTTGAAAACCTGCATGTATGGTACTTGTTACTTAAGCTCACACAAAGCATTCAGCAACCTTTCTAACTCTACGTTGATAGAATCACAGAATAATTTGGGTCAGAAGGGAACTTCAAAAGTCACCTAGTCCAGCCCCCCTGCAATGAGCAGGGACATCTTCAGCTAGATCAGGTTGCCCAGAACCACATCCAGCCTGGCCTTGAATGTCTCCAGGGATGGCACATCCACCACCTCTCTGGGCAGCCTGTGCCAGTGTTTTACCACTCTCATTGTAAAGAATCTTCTACTCACACCCAGCCTGAATCTCCCCTCTTTTAGTTTAAAACCGTCACCCCTTGTCCTATTGCAACAGGCCCTGCTAAAAAGTCTTCTCCCATCTTATAGGCCCCTTTTGAGCACTGGAAGGCCACAATAAGGTCTCCCTGGAGCCTTCTCCAGGCTAAACAACCCCAGCTCTCCTCTGCTTGTCACTACTGTTTGATGAGTCAAGAAGAAAGGTGATCTGCTAATAAATGAGTCCTTCTCATGTGTGTCTCTGTGTAACAGCCGTATGTCAGTTGTTTGTGAGAGTTGGGTAGTGGTTTTTTTTCTGCTTAAAGTTTTTCTGCTTTTTCCCCAGGCTTCCAGGAAAACATACTGATGTGAGAGATGAGTTTTTCCTCTAAGTTAGTTTGAGACCAACACTGGGAAGTGCAGTGATGTCAGAATTGTCTGGATTAAATTTAAAAAATGACTTGACCTGTGCTTCAGCAAGACTGCAGACCACAATCCTTTTTCATGTTTGTTTAGGGATTTTTTTTTTGTAGAGATGGTGTTTAGGGTTGGCTTTTCTTTATAAGCTCAAGTACTGAGGCAGCTTTGCGTTCTTTTATCTTTAACTGAAATTTTGGCAGTCTCTGCAGAATATGCTGTACTGTTAATTTATTTAAATTGGGGAGAGTGTGTTTATGTGTGTGGCAGGTGCCCCTGACTGACACAACACTTCGATGACATTAGAATTGTTAGCTCTTCTGTGAAATTGGGTATTCTTTGAATGTATTGGAGAAGAGTCTATTGAGAATAGTAATTTTTCATTGGAGAATAGCAATTTCTGTTTTCTTGGGCTAATTTGGTCTTTCTCAGGTTCGGATCATGGATCTGGAAGGCAAAGTCCGCCGTGCGGCAGCAGAGAGGGGTGCCGTGGAACTCAAGAAGAATGAATTCCAAGGGGAGCTAGAGAAGCAGCGGCAGCAGATTGACAAAATCCAGTCCTTGCACAGCTTTCAGATGGAAAATGCCAACAAGCTACATCAGGAAGAGAAGGTAGGGCACAAAGGTGTTTATTCCTGGTCACAGTTTTCTGTGAGACACTGGTTTACCAATACCCTCTCTGCAACAGAGTAGGGTTGCTCAAATATTCCAGCTGATGGGCATACAGTCTGTGTTGGTGTGGCAAAACATTTAATTTATGTATCGTTGTCTAATATTGTACATTGAATGCACATTACAGCTTTCTTTGTATAACACATGAAATATTAGAATTTGCAAGTAGCAACACTTTGGAATAAAACCTCTACCCCAGTTCACATGTTGGTGAAACTCATCATCTGTTTTGGCATCTTTTTGCATTCCAATTCTGTCCTGCAAGGAGTAAAAGCACATTCATGAGTTAAACTAAGCAAAACAAAACAAAAAATAAGGTAAGGAAAGGGCAAACAGAACTAAGTATTTGCTTAATTTTTGCTTAATTTATTCTGCAGTCTCTTTTACAAGGGAAATATGGTTTGTATTTTGTTTTTATAAGCAGATTTTCCTTTAGCTAGGAGTATTAGAAGTCAGTTAACTGGATGTGCTGGTCTCACAGCATAGCGTGGACGCTGAGAGCTAGTGACAGGAGCTGACCCAGGAGTTTTAAGGGGACTTGGTGGATGAAATGTTTCTGCCAGGCTATGGTGTGCAACCTTTCTGCTTCAAATTGCTATGGTACTAGACAAATGTAGCTGACACCACATGACCCACTTGTTGTGGTGATGTCTAAAGGACATGTAGGAGATGTCATCCGTTAAACCTGGCATCTGTGCCAGTTTTGCAAAACCGGAACTACTATTGGATGTGGGGATGAATGTGGTAGTCTGGGAAAGAGGCAGAGTGGTTTCTGGAGAAGCAAACATTGCTTCTGAAGTCTCTTGGAGTTTCCTTCTGAAAGAGTCGGTGACAAGGAAGAGGGAGATTAACGAATGCATTCACAGCTGGAATTGCAAAGGGAAACAGAGGTATCGCTTGTAGAGAAATTATGCAGCCATGTTGGTAAGATTGCTATCACAGGGGTGAATGATAAGGCAGAAGTTACAGAAAAAATTTACAAGGCATCTTAGAAATAAACTGGATTAGTTGTTGTACTGTGGGGAGGCCACTGGTGGAGTTTTGGATTGCTGGAAAAGCCATACAGAGGACAATGAGGAGAGTAACCAAAACTGTGCAGTAGTTTCTCTGCAGGAATCCACAGTGTAGGTTCTGGGCTGGACAAGAGCCAGCTAAGGATAGCTGTCGCGGGCATATCTAGGAACACGAATCGTACGAGAGAGACAAGGAATGGTTGTTCTCCATCCACTGCTGGGCTTCAAATGCAGTCAGCAAGTTGTAGTTCAGGCCGAGCAGAAGTGCTCTTTGTGCAATAGATGGTGAAGCTGCAGATGTGTGACATCCGTAATGCTTAGTTGCAGTGGGTCTGTGTGGGTTAAAAAGTGACCAGAAAACCTTGGACAAACACCTGTCCCACTGCCAATACAAAGGTATTCATTCTGGCTCCAGATGTTCCTCGTCCAGAAATAGCTGCTGCTTGGCAAATACTATGGCTGCCTCAGTGTTTATTTGGCATCCAGGATGCTGGGCAAGATAGATTTTTGGGGTCGATACAGTATAGCTCTTACGTTCTCTTAAGCACTTTTTCCTCCATCATCCTAAAATGCAGTTGTTCATTAATGGAGTAGTCTATGAAGCTTGCTGTTGAAACACCACGAAGCTGATGCTGTAGGAAGCATTAGGTAAAAGGTGTGCAGTGAACTCATTCCTGTCTTCTGCTTTTTGTGACTGAAGAAGAGCATGTCTCAGGGGCCTCAAGTGATCGGATGAGTATGTGTGTGTCTGTGCACCACTTTGTGGCAAATTCAAACTTTGCTTTTGTTGCTCTTGTAACACATGAGCAAGTATCCTGCATAGTAATAGTTTGTTTTCCAACACTGTGATTAAAGAGTAGGGAGAGTTGTTTTACTGGGAACCGGTGTATTTGTCAAAAGATGCCGTTAGCCAAGTTGGCATGGATTCCTCCTCTCTCATTTAGGAATGCCTGTGATCTGGTGACAGGGAAGAGATGGAAAGCTTAGTTCTCTGTGCTAAGGACCTTGATCTGAAGAAGCTGTCCAGGATCAGAGGTTATTCTACAGGGGGAGGTAGGATATAAGAAAACTATCTCTGAGTGCTTTTTTTGTGCGTGTATCTATGTTGGTATGTAAGTGTGTGTTGTGTATTCACGTGCATACATACTAGTATACACATATGGCACATGTATCCTTGTTTTTTGGTTCATGGATTCCAGTGGAATCCAGGATTCCTGAGAGGCAAGTAATGAATTCACCCTTTCTAGTTATGAGAAAATTGGTGCTTGAACTGAACTTTATTTCCTGCATGAGGATTAGCAGCAAGTATTTACCTAGTCAGGAAGAATGAATGGAAATCCAAATCACAAGTCTCTCAACTTCCCTTACAAGTAACACTAACTAGACAGATCTTTGAGTGATAAACGTGATTTTGTTTAGTTCTAGATGTTCTTAAAGAAAAATGAAAATGCTTTCAGCTGATGTGTAAGAGTGAATAGTCTGTCTTGAAAACCCATCTGTTTCAGGGTAAAAATGTTGTTCTTCTGGTTATAGAAGAAATCTATACAGGAACAACCATTTTGAGTTAAATCTGCCTTCTTTTCCAGTAGAAGTGTCTCTGTGCTACTTAAAGGACGAGGACATAGAAGGTAGGAGTTAGTCAGAGCCTGAAATACCCTGTGGGCTTACCATTCACTGAGGCAATGTAATGCTGGGAAATTGCTGTTGTAATTATTATTCTCTTAGGTCTGAGTACGTATGAAACACTTCAGTCACCAGTTTGCTTTTAAAAAATCTGCTTGAATTTTTAAGGACTAATACAGATTCAGCAAATGGCTGTGGAAATCCGTACAGAAATAGACTGAAGAGATCAAGAGAGCTTACATGAACTCTTAGTCACAACAGATAAGTAATGAGGAGTGCAAAGGGCTGTTTGTAATCCGTAAGTGATTTTCTAAAGAACAATATTCTGTATGGTTGTTATTCAGGACTCGTAGTTTCTGGGATGTGCACAGCCATGATAGTCATTTTGAAGAGTGTAATAGGGGAACAATATGTGTCATCTCTCTTCTTTTTAACAGCTAGAGTATACTTTTGTAATTTGGTTTTATGTAATTCTTCCCCAGCCCACATCTTGTTTTACGGAGGAGAGGGGCCAAGCTTTGTACATTATATGTGAAGCACATCACTGTCCTGTTGCTCAGTGTCTTTTAACACTGGCCACAGCTGCTCTCGGATCCTCTCCCTCTGGGAAAATTTAAATTCCCAGCACAGCTTCTGAAACAAAATACCTATCAGTATGCAGAGAGTTGGCTCCACTCAAGAGATGACAGTGGCGGGGAGGGAGAGAGAGAAAAAAGCCTGCTGTGAAAAGGAGAAGGTGCTTATGTGTGTTTTGTTTTTATTTTATAAAACAATGTTGCATCTTCTAGTTTTGAAAAAGCTTTAAGGAAAAGCAAGTGCTGCCTCGTGCCCTGCTCTTACTTGCTGTAGCATGATGTTGCCAAATTATCAAGAGAAACCAGTCTGCTTACTCGTAACTGATACAGCAGAGGTTTAGAGCACTATCTCTGTTTAAAATACATTTTCACATGGTGAAGAAAAAAAAAAAAGGGTAGTCTGGATCTAGCTGAACTGTAGGCATCCTAAGAGTGGAAATTCGGAGTATGTGTAGCTTAAGAGTTAACTACTGGCACATTTCTACCTCTTTCTAGCAAAATGAATGGACAAAAAGGAAAGCAGAAGGTGCATTATGCATACCTGTACAGATTTCTGTCAAGATTCTCACATAACAGGATTCTGTTTTGTTTACACTGATTATTATTTGGGTTTTAATGAAATACAACAATGTCATTGAAGTCCTGTAGCTGCACAGGTCCTATTTTCTCCTATCTGCCTGCTGTTGCCTTGCACTTATAAAAGTAATTTCTTACTCATATGTGTCAAATTACTCTCTCTTCTGCTGAGAGTGTAAAAAATTGTCAACTTTACTGTTTTGGTGGTTTCTGTGGTTTTGAGAGCTGACTTGCACCGTGTCATGGTGCATGGTCCCTCATCATGGATAAAGAGAGTCTAGATTGCTTTTAGCAGAGAGTGTGGTAGAGTCAAGATGGAGTCCCTAATCTTTGCCAGGATCACTCTTTGGGAAGAGAGTCGGTTGGGTTTTTGGGAGGTTGGTTTGGTTTTATCAGTTAAATTTCTCCCCCCTCTCCCCCTTTGCTGAGGGTGAGGAAAAGTCTGTAATTTCTGAATGGAATTTAGTGCAGTGAGAAGTAGTTTTAAATGAACAATGTCGCCTCCATTTTGTTTCAGCCATGCTTCAATTGGTGCACCTTCACTGAAGTATACGTGAGTGTGCAGTACACAGGCCAACCTAAAAGAGAAATATTTCCTTTGGGATCTCATTTATGAACCTTTTCCCCAACTACTAATATGTAGTTAGCCATTAATTTCTTGTCCTAGAATGAAAAAGCTTTTTTGTGGCTGTTATAAATGGTTTCTTTACTCCTGAAGATTGTTTCAAAATGGTGAAGAAGAGTACAAAGAAAAGAATTGATGATGTGTGTTACTAGGAGAGTGTGTGTGTGTGTGTGTGGAGGCATGCTTGCAAAATTAGAGAAGTGGGGTGGAAATCTCCAGATATAATTAAGAAATGAAAAACAGATAATCAAAATATGGCTTGTACTGCATGGCCAGAATGGTGATGGAGAGCAGGATCGTCCAAGGCAGAGCAGCTCCTTTTCTTTGCAGTAAGGACTTAGATCAGTTTGAGTTAATCATTAAATAGGTGCCCTTTTCCTCCCTGATTAATTATAAATGCTTGTTTCTGCTGTTTTCTGGATGTTTAGATCTTATCTCTCGGCTTGGTCTGTTCTTGGTTGGTTTTGTTCTTACCAGCTGATTTACTGATCCTTTAGCTCATCTTTCTCTCCTTGTGACAGCTATATTTGTTAATGCAAAGCCCCTTTTTTTCTTAGGTTTTAGTTCTGAAGCCAGTGTTTACTTTCATCAAGTTCTTTGTCGTTTTATTCCTTTTTCCTGTTGCAGTATCTTATGCTTTTGTATACAGTATGTACAGTCAATGTCAGAAAGCACAAACCAGAATTTAACATGCTTGATTTAGCTGATTTTTGAGGGTGGCAAATGCTGAAGGTGTTACACCCAAGGAAGGTGTTTATGGACACTACTGTGTAAGGCATTAATCAGATCAAATGCATGTATATAGTTCAGAGTATGTGCGTGTTCAAAATGTACACCTTGGAATAATTTTCTCACAAGTACTTCTGCACCTATGTTCTGGGTTTTGTTTAAACAGTAACTTTTAATTTTTGTCTCTCAAGTGCAGTATGACTTACATAGACATCGTCTATGTAAGAACAGAAAGACAAGAACCAAAAAAATGTATCTCTGGAGGTTCTCAATAAAAAAAATTATGTCCAAGTGGAGCAAGATTTTTCCATCACTGTTGGTGGCAGTGTGGCTTTATTTTTGGTTTCTGAAGATCAGCATTGACTCCAGACAGGCAACTGACTTTTCCTCAGTGATAATCAGAAGGATTTCTCTGCAAGACATGTTCGCAAATGAAATAGGCTGGCTCTGTGTTACAGAGTTGCTTTGTCACAGAAGGTAACATGTTCATACTGCAGTAACAGTGCTGGATTCTCACTTCTAGGGATCATAGGTATTGTCTTGCGTACTGAATGAGATTTAAGGTGCCATTTTATCCCTAGAACTGTGTTTTGGCATGTGTTTGCTAGTACTTCCCAGGAGCTTGCTTTCTTGATGTGCATAAAACCCAAAAGAAAATAGTGTTTGCCAAATTCACAGCCATAAGGGGAAGATTATTTGGCTCTTGGATGGCAGGAGGAGGAACGGAAAGCCTGACGTTATGGATACAGTTGGATGGGAAACTGGCGGCTGGAGCAGTGCCCTGTAAATTATTAAGCGGTGTTTCAGGCTAAACAGCTGACTAGATTTGCATGACTTTTTCCTGGACTCTTACCCACAGACTCAGGGAGGTGGGTGTGGCATTGCCATGAGGAAGTGTCACGTGCAACTCAGAAAGGCCAAGGCATGCTCTTTCCTTTTTCTTTCCCTGTTGTGATATAAGGAACCTTTTTCATGTGGCACATAATTTTATTCAGTTCAGCTAATCATAGTTATTATTGTCCTAACGTACAAAACACTCAATACTTGTCTGTTTTACTACCAAATAAGTGGTCCTGGTATTTTGGAGTTTTGTATTAAGAGGGGGAAAAAACAACCAACTAACCAAAACCAAGGCAGAACAAGCTCTAGGAACATAAAATTACCATGTCATACTGATTTTTCTGGTCCATTGACAGTCTGTGGTAATGACCAATGCTGGAAACCCTGAAGGTGTGATAATCATGGAACAACTTGATTATGTTGCTCATGCATTAGCAAAACTTGGCATTTCCATTGAAACATTAACTTCATTTCCCCAATAAACCAGTGAAAACAAATCAGGATGCTCTTTGTACCTGTCCTATGAGAAAGGAGAGGGAGAGGTATTAAACAATCCTAAGTATATGTTGTTACTCATGTTGTTATTACTGTTTTTTCCTTCTCAACAAAGTAGCAATGCCTTTGCTCTTGAGGTTTCACAGTGGTATTCATGGGCCAGCTGTATGTGTAGAATGGCATGGGAATATTTCTTTCCTAGGGTTGAAAAAGGCTGCCTCTTCATCAGTACATGAATGACTGTCTCTGAACTGGGACTCTTTAAAGGGTCCATAAAAACCAAATCTAGCCCTCTCCTATGTGCTATCCCACTCTGATTGATTGAATGCTTCATTTTTTCTAATCATCTGCCACTTATTACTGTAGTCTTAGTGAAAAAAGGCACTGACAGCATTTCAGGGTGTTTCAGAGTGACTTGGGCAGGCAGAATGGATGAAGCTACTTCTTTGCATTGAAATGGTGTGGACATATGTACACATACCTGTACTTGAGCAGAAACTTTGGGAAACTGGGGACTTGGTATACTCTGATCTGGGAGCCCTGCAGAACACTGGGTTTTCCTAGGAGGGGGTTAATGAGGAAACTGCCAGGAAAGTACAAGAAATATGCTCCTAAGATTGGAGTGGATTGTTTCTGAAGGATAAGTGGATCTCATCCTTTTTTGTAGTTTTAAGAAGACTCTTTTGCACCAGACTTTCTGAATGTTAAATATGAACCTGAATTATCCTGACCTCTGGCTCACAGGAATTATTTTCATTTAGGCCTGCCCTAGTTCTGTCAATATTAATGTGTTTTGGGGCATGTGTATGTATGGGTTGGTAGATGGGGCTTGGTGAAAGAATGGTCCAAATATTCCTATGTTGACTGCACCTTTGAAATGAGAGAGCAAAGTGAGGGAATGGAAGGTTACTCCACTTTGTCATCAAAGACGGAGAGGAAAAGTGGTATAATGCAAGGGCTTCATGTTGCTTTTGTAGAGTTCCTTTATGCTGAGTGATTAATGCTTTCATAGCTCATTCTTACATGCCTTAATGCAGGTGTATTGATTCCCTGGTGAGAAGGTAGTTGATGGCAAGCTGTGCTATGCTGTATTCTTCCTTCAAGGGATAAATACAGTAAATCTGACTGTGATTTGCAAGTATGAGATTAAACCAGAATAAAGCAGCAAGCAATTTTAGGGCTGGACTCTTTAAATTCCTCCTGTTTTTAAAGTGGAGTGATATCTCCCCCGCTCTTTACTGGGAAATCTGGGTAAAAATGAGTGTTTGTAATCTAGTAAATCTCTAGAGCAGCTGAAGGTTTTGTGGTTGGCTGTAACCCAGCACTTCACAAATAAAACATCTTGTTACAAGTGCTTTGGTTGATGTTCTTTATAATATTAATGGTAATGCAGGACCTTTGCAATTAAAACAGTTTTCTGTTTCATTCCTTCCAGGCAGTGCTGATGAGTAACATCACAGTAAATGACCGATTGATCCAAAGTCTACGAGGTATACATAATAACCCTTCTACATCACTTTCATATATGTTTTTTAGCCCCCTGTTTTTAAGACTTGCATTTTTTTTTGTTTTCTTCTGAAAATCCTGCCTTTCTTCAAGTCATGGAGATGGTGCTGGAGCTGTGGTGACTTAGATCCTGCATCTGCATAGTTCCAGTTCAGTGAGGTGTCAGACTAATCTGCCTCAATGGTAGAAGGATTTGTCCATGGAGTGCTTGCTGTAGGACTCCTGACCCGTATGGTATAAAATAATAGGGAATAAAACTAGCCTCTCTGCGCATTGTTAACATACATATTCTTCATGCTACTTTTTGCATGAAGAAGGAGGAATGTATTCTTAACATTGTTCGGTGTTTGGGTCATGCATTTTAGCACCAGGGGAATCCACAAACTCCTATATTAAATAAAAAAACTTGGTCTAATTAATTTCTATTCATGTTGGTGCTTCAAAATTATTGTTAGCAATTTATTCCTCAGGAAGTCCAGGGAATGATCCTAAGTTCTAGGAATAGGTAAATGTGACATGATGCCGCCTTATGGTGTTCCCACACAGAGCTTTCTGTCAAGAAGAAAACTAAATCATAGATGCCTCTGTTTTTGAGGAACATAACTGTAAATTGCGCATTACTCAGGGAAGCATTGTAAGCTAATAAACATGAATGCCATTTCATACTATGTTCTGATTAGGGTTTCACAGACCCAAAGATTTTGTGGGCTGAAATCTAGCAGAGCAAGTGTTTGCAAACAAGTTAAGAGTATTCCTTATGATGGAACACGTCAAAAATCTTTGTTGCACTGTTTTTGTTACTATGTTAGGCTGAAAGGCTCTTCTTACTCAATCTTCTGCATCTTTGATGAATAAATTCAATAAGTATCTATGCATTTGTACACAAAATGTAGTGTGCATGATGGATGGCATTAGCGTGCCTACTATTGATCTGTTGTTTGACACTTTTGTTGTAATATATGTAGGTATATATGTGTGTGTATATTTTAATGTATATTTTAATCCTGGTTTGGTCAGAACACTTGAAAGAGTTACAGACAGAATATGGAAAGCTACAGCTGAACGTTTATTGGTTTCAGAAGAACCAGACTAACCTTCAGAGGAAGTTCTCATATGACCTGTAAGTATGTTTTTTTTTAAAGATGGCTTCTGGAGTTGTAGGTGACTTGTGATATCTATAGCACTGTTAGTAAATGTACATTTTTAATGATCAAGTAACATCTGACACATGTTGTAGAATCGCTCACAGTTGATCTTGGAGAAAAGTATAGACCTTGCAGTGCTTGGCATCTCGGTAGCCACATGCTTCTCCCACATTTCTTAATGTTCCTTCTATTGCAGGAGGAGAAAGGTAGCAATATTCTCATGTAAGAGTGGGGGGAAGAAATTGAAACACAAAGATGCTGAACTCTGAAGAAGTTTAAGAACCAAGATATGGGGATACCTGATGAGAAGCTGTATCTCATTATGCTACTAGAAGCCTGAGAAAATTTCTGGTTTGGTCACGGTCAGGGCCATATGTTCTGCATTACAGTTCATACCTAGTCATGTTTTTTGTTAGAGATTTCCCACTGAATTATAAGGCGTGAATGACTGAACAGAAGTTCTTATCAGTATCCTTATACTAAATACACATTTCTGGTATTTCTAGGAATTTCTCCTGTGTTCTTTTTGTCAGTAATGTTCTTGTTCTCTCTACCTGTCTTCACATCCTTTTATTCCTTCCTTCTGGTGCACAGATCCAGAAAACCCCTAGAATTTGTTGTTTGCTTGTTCTCATAATGATTTTCCATCAAGAATATAATTGCTGTAGTGACAGGTATTTTTCCAGCAGCCATTGTTTAGCCAAATTTCATAGGAATTACAACTAAAAGTTTAACATGGCAATCAAAGAATTTGAATTCTGCAGGCCAAACTTGAAATACCTTTTTTCTTTTCTTACTTCTCCCTTTTCCCCCTCCTCTCTATAAGAATTAAGGATTAGTATTAGTGGTTTTGGGATACTTACCAATTATCAATTATTAGATGGTTGTGTACTTCCCCATCACCTCAGGCATTGTTACTCATTTAATAATGATGACCCAGATGTATTCTCTTAGTGCAGTTTTGTTTGTTGTAAGCACTATCTCTTTGCTGTTTAGTTAAATGACAGAGCTGGGACTCCTGAATGTCTGTTCATACTTCTTTGCTAGAGACCCTAACTAGTCTCTGTTTGCCATCATCTTCCTTGTAAGGCTGAGATCAGCATGAATAAATGTATCTGTAGCCACATATACATGCTGTATGGTCACACTCTACATAAGAGGTACATCCTTGAAGCACTGGATTGATATGTGCAGGGAAGTGATACGAGGCAAATGTAGTCAGTCTGATTTCTGAAAACTCATGTCCACGTCTGGTGAAACGTTTTCAAAGTATAGCGCTATTGAGGGAATCCTTGACAGAGCATCCCTGCTTGTGGGAATGTACTGTACAGAATCCCTCTTCATTTAACAGAGTAAGGTTGGATTCTGAGCATACAGCTGTAGGGTCAAGGCTGGCTCAACGTGGAAAGCTAACTAAGGTACAGTGATGAAGATCAGTTTGCTTGTATCAGGGTAAGGCATGATAGTTCAGCCATGTGCTAGCTGAACAGGGACTCTGCTAGCTGGTCTGCCTCCAGTTGGTCCTGAGGCAGATGCAGTGTTTCCTGCAGTCTCTTCATAGGAGTCCATAAAAGCAATTACCTCAGTCAAGGGACTATGCTTTCTTCACTAGCTTTGCTGAATAACTCTGAAATGTTCTTTTTCTATTTCTGGATTTTTTTTGTAGCTACGCAAGTAAGGAAAACAAACTTGCAGTCAAATTTTCGTAGAGTGATGTATAGCTTGGGCACCCTCCAGCATTCACAAAATTTTAGCAGGAACATATAATTTTCATTTTTAAATGTTGTTTGTTGTATACTTTTAGGGGGGATGCTGGAACATTAGTATTTCACTGTTGTAGTAAGTTACATTACTATGCATTGTGTTCTGTTGTAGAAACAGACATCTGATTATACTTGGTTACATAGAGTCCTCTTTTCTATCTCTAAATGTTTAGTTGATACTGTCATTTTAATTGCTTACAAACAACCTCTTCCCAATGTGATTATGGGCCTAGAAAAACAAGTATTAGACTCAAAATGTTACTTTTAAGTTGTCTTACTTCTTCCCCTCTGTATTAGGAGTAAACCAACATATTGTCTGTCTGTTCATCTTCAGTAAACCTTCGCAGGAGGGGTGTTAGACCTGCTTTTGTGTTACATTGATGTTTTTTCCTTTGATTTTGGGTTGTAGGGGTGAAGGTTTTGCACCTTAAGTATCAAGTACACTTTGCCCAGTGGAAAAAGGAAGAGGTGGTATTGTGTAATTGAAGATGTTAAAAAAAGATGGCAGCAGTCAAATGCCTTTTTTAACTCCACACATTGTAAATCACTCTTTTTAAACAGTCAGATATTGCACTGTAGAAGACAGTGATAAAATTGGTTGTGCAAGTGAAATGTGTAAGAATACAATTTTTTAACTTGGAAGGCACAAAATTAGTTGGTTTTTTTCTCATGCCCAGGTCTTGATATTTCATCTTAGCTTTTTGTTTGGTTGGTTTTGAGCAAGGTTAGTGGTTTCCATACAGAAGTCAGCAGCAGTTGTGTGAGCTTACCGGTAGTGTGTGAAAAACGAGTACACGTTCCTCAGCAGGCAGCTTACTGAGATACCCTTGGTGGACACTGCGCAGTGCTCTCTGCTCACAGCAGAGCTTGTTCAGCACAGACTGACTGGCAGCACTGACCGTCCTCTCCTGCAGCAGCCAGAGAGAAATGGAAGCCTCTGGGCTGGTCTCCATCCCAGTAGTGTTAATGCTCCATCCCTGGCAGTGTTCAAGGCCAGGCTGGACGGAGTCCTGGGCGACATGGTTTAGCGTGTGGTGTCCCTGCTCATGGCAGGGGGGTTGGAACTAGATGATCTTAAGGTCCTTTCCAACCCTAACTATTCTATGATTCTATGATTCCATGATCTTCTGATGATATTTCAGTGTTCAGATGCATTTTGATTCCAAGGAACTTTGTTACACAGTCACTTCTTTGGAAAAATTTGCAACACGTAAAAAGTCTGGTAGTTATGTTGGTGTTTGCAGAGCTGGCAAGTGGAAGAATGTGAGTGCACAAGTAATCCTTGTTTGCCAGGGATGAAAGGAGCTGATGTTATATGCTCCTGGAGGACAAAGGTGCTCTGTTTCTCACGGTGGGGGCAGCAAATCCAGCAGCCCTGGAGGGGAGAGGCTGTACATGCGTTTCTGTGCATGCACAGCATGCCTGTACATGGTCAGGTATGCAGGTTAACACAGACACATGCAGCATATACAACAGAGCATGAACAACACCAGTAGTGTCATCCTGCTCTGAGGAGGGGTCTGCTAGTGCAAACCGTGCTCGTGTACGTATGTACTGGCTGTCAGCAGTCCCTGCACCACCCAGGCATGGTACTCCCATCCTGATCTGACTCCTGAGCTGCTGCACTCGCACCTTCATAGATTCACATACACACTGAACAGGGAAAAGTTAAAAAGGCATTTAATAAAAAGTAGGACAGACTGTACTGATCAGGTGCAGGGCAAGGCCAGCCAAGCGCACCAACCTGCAACGTGTTTACATGCAATTGATGTTTATCCCCTTCTCTCTCTTTTCTCATGTTTGTTCCTGCCAGAGATCCATCACTTCCTCTGCCTTTGGTCCCATAATAAATATTGTGCAGTCCTGACATGTTCTATCCTTGCATCCCATAATGTGTCCCTACCCTGGACAGGAAATGCCTTGGTCCTATTGACTCATCTTGATGGGTTTCAGGACTTACATGGGGGCTTAGGCTGACTGGAGTCAGCCCAGGGGCTTGTGGGATGGTCTGGACAGGATGTTTGAGTCCGTAACTTAGGCTCCCCATTGCCCTTCTGCCTCTGTGCTCCTTTAGGCTCTTGGAAGTGGGCCTTGGGTGCGCTGATGGTTGCTGTGATGAGCCTGAGAGCAGCTCAGGGAGGGTATTGACTGACCGCCTTTTTGTGGGCACAGGTGCACTCTTTATCCCACAAATTAACTCTAGAGAGAAAAGATGTAAAAGAGACTGAATTTGAAGTGCTGGTTTTGCAGATTTGAGCTACATCATATTGGTAGGATGAATTGGAGATGCTAGTGCTGTTCTTGTGCTTTAGAAGTTGTTGTATGCATGGGTGGAGTATTCCAGTCTCCAGAAATCCCATTTACAAGACTTCACAGATAATAAATTTTAAATGGTGAGGATTTGCCACAGATGTTAAATGAACTTTATTTTCATGTGCAGTGTGGGATGAAATGGCATTTGTGAGAGGTTACACTATCTCCAGCTTCAGGTTGTCTGTATACCGCAGCTTTTTCAAGCTGGCAGGCTGAGGTACAGGTAATTCTGATGTTGTCTTATTTCTTAGAAATTAGTGAACATGTGCCTAAGTCCAGCCTATGTTGTTTTATTGTCTCTGATGTTCACTGACTTAGGAAGCACTACTTATTTGGGTGCATCAGCATTATCAAAATAAGACTTTAGAATAATGTCTAGTCAAAAAGAGGTGGTAATAATTATTTTGCCAGTTCATAAAGGTAATTAATTTGCCACTTCATAGCATGTCTGTCTGCCACTCTACTTCCTTTCTGCATATGAACTACAGAACAGATTGTTTGCTTTTAAAAAGCAGGGTGGAGAAGGATGAAAGTGCAGTAAAAAGAACGACTTGCTGTTGTAGAGGGCACATGGTCTAAGAGTTGCTCTGGATTAGGCAGTAGCTTATTTGCAGCATGAGAAAATGGAACATGCCCATCTGAACCCACTGCTGCTACAATGGAGGTATAACACTGCCAGAACCAGGCTCAGAAGATACTAATCTCCATTCTCTCCTAGTGAGGGGGAGGTAAAACTTGCAGTATGTTGACCATACTGTTGTACAAGGGATGCCAAGAGAGGTTCTGCATGCAGAACGATGTATTTGCGAAGTCTGTAACTGATGGTATTCACAGAACTCAAAGTTATCTCAAGAGTGGAAAAAAGCAGAAGAGAGAAAGGAAAACAAAGTTAAAAAACACAACAAACTCCTTTGCCACTGGGAGTGAAACAGCACAGTCTCCAGCCAAGCCTCTTCCTTGGGCACACTCTCCAGAGCGGTGGGTGCTGACAGCGATGGTTTTTCACCACATTTTGCCCTAGCATGATACACTTTTCATCTCCGCTCAAACCCACTATTGCTTGTTACTGTTCACAGTGGGATCAAAAGCATACTTGGGATCCTATGAGGACTGCTTTCTAAGCCTTCTGCATGTCTGTTTCAGTGTAATGCTTACCTGCTTTGTTACTCACTGGGTTTTGTTCTTCTGTTAATATAAACGGAAAGTTACAAACAGGTTACGAAGAGAGTGGGGGAGAAAGAGTGATTTTTTTCCTAATGGCAGCCTGGAAAAAACCAACTTGACCTGGGGTTTGCACAGGGACAAAGGGGAAAACACTGCCCTGGCAGCTTACCTAGAGGTTATGGAGCTGTGAGGGAGACTGCAGAACTGCAAACAGACCCCTGGTGTCACACAGGTTAAGGCACTAATGGCATTGTGTAACTATTAAAAGCATATAAAAGATATACAATACTTCCATCTTTAGGAAATGCTTTTGGAACTACTGGTGAACTCCGTTTCTGTAATGTATGCTCTGTTATGTCTTTCAGCACTGCACTTCAGTGAAATAGTGAGAAATGGTGTTCACTTTGCTAGCAGTGGCTTACATCCATGTTTTATTTCAGCTAGTACCTTGATGTTTCCCCTTCCTAGCTAAAATCCAAATATTCGTTTGTGTTACCACACTAGAAATGCTTCAAGGATGAAAATTGATCGTGACTCACTGAAATTGACAGGTTAGTGGAAGACAAGAAAATTCATGTAGCTTGTTGAGCTGGTCTAACAAAAGCAGTTTAAATGAATTTCTTCTAGTAGAACTTCGACTATCTGCACCACGTTTGTCCCTAGGACTTAGATTAACACCCCATTTCTTACTTCTGACTTCTCAAATATAAGCACAGATAATAGGACTAAGAAAATAATAAAATAATAACAAAAAAGATCATTTTAGAAAAGAGTATTTTAGACATTTTAGAAGAGTGTAGATGAAAGTTTACAGCTACTCACTTTTTTGTTTTCTGCAGGTCACAATGCATCAACCAAATGAAAGAATTAAAAGAACAATGTGAAGAAAGGATAGATGAGCTCACAAAAAAGGGCACTGATGTACCACAAATCAAAGAAAACAAAAACTTATCAGAAGATTCGAAAAAAAATAGCCAGGTATGGTTTGGATAATTTCTTCAAAATATTTTCCTTTGTAATTCCTGGATATTTTTCCACTATCTCCAACTAACCTTAGCCCTTCTCCTTAAGTTCTGCACTGCTTTCCTTCACATTTGTTGAATATTTGTGATCAATGAGAAATTGAGTGATTCCAAGGACAGAACAGGCAAAGGTTCTGCAGGAGACTTCAAATCTGTGTCTCTGAGAGGGGCAGAATTTGAGAGGTGATGTTAGGACTGGTGTGGAGCCTCTTAAAGAATATTTACACTGCTGAGCTTTGGCTCACAGCTCCCTTTGACTTTGTAAAGGACTTAGTTGCTTTGTATGTTGAAGATGTGTGTTAAAGATGCGGATTAATTTTGAGTAGCAACAAGCTTTGAGTAAGATACTGTGCTCCAGAGGTCTTTGAGGTGCACTGGCTATAAATTTTCACAGAAATCCTAATGTCAGCCTTTTACTGTGGGAACGAGGGGAAGATCAAATGTCTCGGGTGTTTGCTTTTGGATATTCTTAGTTAAAGAACCATGTGACATGAGAAGGCTCACTAGGGTGGTGCAGGCTTGCCACATAGGGTGGCTGCATGCCAGCTGACACCCTCTTCCTGGAGTAGAGAGGGCAGGGGAAATCCCGAGAAAAGGAAATTTCAGATCATGCTGTTGTCTTGGCATGTGTATTATTTATGGTTCTTCACTGAAGAACAGGACTTGATTTGTTATAGAATCATAGAATAGTTAGGGTTGGAAAGGACCTTAAGATCATCTACTGTTGTAGGCAGGGGCACCTTCTAGTGGACCAGATTGCTCAAAGCCCCCTCCAGCCTGGCCTTGAACACTGCCAGGGATGGGGCAACCACAGCTTCTCTGGGCAGCCTGTGCCAGTGTCTCACCACCCTCATAGTGATATTGTAAGAGATAAAGCCAGCCTGGAGAGGAATATGGTTGGTAAGTTCCACAAGGCACAATTACATATGTGTGGAAAAAAGCTAGTATTTTACCAATATAGATTTATAGAATCATAGAATATTTAGGGTTGGAAAGGACCTTAAGATCATCTACTGTTGTAGGCAGGGGCACCTTCTAGTGGACCAGATTGCTCAAAGCCCCCTCCAGCCTGGCCTTGAACACTGCCAGGGATGGGGCAGCCGCAGCTGCTCTGGGCACTGTGTGCCAGGGCTTCACCACCTTCCTAATGTCTAATCTGAAGCTACCCTCTGTCAGCTTAAAGCTGTTCTCCCTTGTCCTGTCATTACTTGTCCTTGTCAAAAGTCCCTCTCCAGGTTTCTTGTAGGCCCCTTGAGTACTGGAAAGCTGCTCTAAGTTCTCCCTGAAGCCTTCTCTTCTCCAGGCTGAAGTGACTGGAATTCCTCTGTGCTGCTCTTCAGGTGCTCCCTTGCTGACCTGTGATCCCTCTTCAGGCTCTAGGCATCTCCTATTGGCACCAGAACCACACTGGTAGGAGTAGGATGAATTGAGGCTCCCTTCCCACACCAACTTTAGTTTAAAGCCACCTCCAGCAGCCTGGCAAGCCTGTAACCTAAGACACACCTCCCTTTCTCCCAAAGTGGACCCCATCAGGCCCCAGCAGAGAAGTTTCTCAAAGTGAGTTCCATGGTCTAAGTGGCCAAATCCCTGGCTGTGGCACGAGTAACCATTTATTGGTTCACCAAATTGAAACACACAGCCCTGGAAACACGCAGTGAAGCTCCTGGGTGGAAAGGCAGCTAATTTATTTCTACGTACGGAAGCAGCCCTTCCTTTGGGACTGTGAGCACTATTTACAGAGGTTATGTGTTTGCAATGGGGCCTCACCCCCATACCTGGGTGGGCAACTCTTATTGCAAAAACGGTGGGGGTTTGGCTGTATACACCCTTTTCTCTTTGGCTAGGAAAAGCCTACTAGAAGAAACGATTTGATGACTTCAGAAGTGGAAAGGGTAATGCAACGAGGACTGAAGCTGGGTTTTGCAAACAGCTGGAAATGGGTGGGGGAAAATGGCTGAAACGTCTGTCCAGAGAACCCTAGGTGCTCAGGTAGTGGTTCCAGTCTCTGTCCAGTCCTGTGTGTAAAATGGTGGAAGAGAGAATTGCTGAAGCTTGTGACCTTTTATCCTGGGAACCTGCGTTGTGTGAGAGCTGCAAGATGGATGAAGCATTAGAGGCAGGAAATGCTAGACAAAAAAAGGTGAAAGCTCTTGTTTGTCAGTAATTTTTATCAAGTGTCAAATAAGTAAATGAAAAGTAGTAACAGTAATAGTGAATATATGGTAGTAAGTAAATAAAAAGCACATTTTGAGAAGACCTAATGTCAAGATGTAAAATGCTATTTCAAAAGTTGATGTGGGGAAGACCATGCTAGAGATGTGGTCAACTTTTGTGGCGTGCAGACGACTTCCATTACAATTACTTGTACCACGTTTTTTTCTTGTTTTGTGGTTTGGTTTATGTTTTACCATTTCCAGTTTGGAGGGGAAATAATCCCTGAGAGAACTTGAGGAGTGTGGCTGAAGCCCCTCTGCAGAACTTCAGTCTCCTGCAACAAGTCCCATAGTTGGAGGTAGTCTTTACTCAAAGCAGGCAGTGGCTTAGGTGGGGCAAGTTATTTGTTCTCCTTTTAATCTACAGATGGGATGGTCCCAGATGACATAACCACTAATACAGCAACAGCCTAATTGAATTCTGTCTGCTAGTGTTCCCTAGGATCTGTGACAGTGTTTCTTACGTCAGGCTGTGCCTTTCTCAGTTGTTTGTTTGCCCAAGGATTGCAGTTTCTTGCTTGTACAAAAGCTATTTATTGTTAGTGCAAGGTGACCCTGACAAAATCTATATACTTTTTTAGCCATTGTTCTTAGCTGGAATAATTTCCTGTTTGTAAGATGTATGTGCTTATGTAATGGAAAGATATAGTTAAAATAAAACAGAGAAAGAAGATGGGAATGTTGGTTAATAAATACACAGCTTTTCTTACAGCTCTGCATTTTAAAGAATGATGTATACTTCTCAGTTGAGGAATACAGAACATGTTCCAATTATTTTTTATTCAATCACTTCAACTTAAAAAATCTTCAGCATATATCTTTTTAAGTTACCATCATCAAAAATTACTGAGCTAGAAATCTAAGCTAAGGGCTTTTGCATGTATAATTAAGAGGTAGATTCTTGCTACTAAGTGCAGGCTCAGTATTTTTACAGAGTTCATGCCTGGCATAAAGTGAAAAATGATCTTGTGTTCAGTTTCTGATGATTTCTACCGTAAAGACTAATCTCAAGAGGTTCAACTATTTATAAAACAGAAGCATTTTAAATACAGGATTTTTGTTTTAATGATTGAAGGAAGATGGGAGTTCGTCTGAATATCCTTACTGCAGTAACCAGATACTCTGTGGTGATACTTGCTGCTCATGCTTTCGTAAGAGTTAATGCTAGATTATTTGTTGACTACGTTGGACTTCATAGTGTTGACACAAGTTCTGCCTGGCTTTAAGCTTTAATGTTTTCAAAACAGCCAAGTAATCATATCCTACAAATCGTCTACAGATTTGGCTTTCATAGCTATTTAACCACTTCTTTCCACAGACTTTTTTCCGAATGACTGTGTGAACACTTGCCAACCTAGTGGTTTATTAACCTGCTTAGAAAAATAGGTAGCTGCAGTCTTACCAACAGTTCTAACAGAGAACTTTAACTGTATTACTTTCTCCACCATAATGTTTCCTATTTATTTGTACAGTATCAGGTATAAAAAAGGCTTGTGTTCCTCATGTCTGTATGCATTTTCTTTCTCTACATCCTTTGGGTTGTTTTTTTCTAAACAGAACCAAACCTCAGCAAAAAAAAAAACCCCTCCATAAAACAGTTTCAGAACAGTCTGTTTTTCTGTACTTAAGATGGTACAGTACAGCACAGCTCCAGGCACGTTTCCTGGTCAGTGTTGGTGTGACTGAACTGACATAGCTGTCAGCCAATTAAATGCCAGTATGACTAAAACGGAATTTTAATTGCTATACTGGAATATCTTTAAGGTGGTGTACATCTTAGCCATTAATTTTTAAACAGGTCAGATGCTGAGAGCAATCTAGTACCAGTATTTAATACATTCTTAAGTAAGCTCCATCACATTAAACAGATACTGTTGTCTAGTTGGTTTTTCTTCTCTTAATCCTACATTCAATGTAGTTTTACTCAAGGTCTGTAAAGAGTTGCTTAACTGAAGTCTCATCATGCCGAAACTGAGTTTACCTGGGCCTGTAGATCACTAACAGTAGTTAATGCTATCTGTTCGGTTTTTTTTGCTGTACTGACCTTGATGTGGTAGCAGGACAACAGTGGAGAAATGTGTGCTGTTACCATTCTGTGACCCTTGGAGAAGGGCACTTGAGAAGGTTTCCTTGTGAAACACTAACCTCATCATTATCTGCAATTAGATTAAAGAAGGTGTGTTAAATTCTTACTGTGTGTCATGCTGTTATATAGAAACATTATTGCATGTTCAAAATCGTACGGTACTTCCATCACCAACAAAAATTTCACTCCAAATATTTCTGAGTGTGCTAGGTTTTGGGTTCCCCCCCCCCCCCCCCTGAATCCTTATCTAGCTTCCACTTCTCTTTCCAAATGCAGGAACAGTTATACAGACCAATGCTTATCCGTGTACATTCACTTTATAGGTCAGTATTCAACTGCCTACCTTGGAGCAAACTGAGTTCAAGCAGGCTGACCTGGAACAGCAGAAACCCAATGAAGATGTACCTAAAGCAGTACCTACAGTAAAAAAGATAGACCTGCTGGAGGCTAAAGGTGAGACAGAAATCACAATCTGACAATCAACTGGTTAAGAACATTTGTAATTTAATTGAACATTTAAAAAACATTTTTGTACACAAGATTAAGATAAAAACCCAACACCAGTAGACTGAACTTTAAGTAATTTTCCAGCTGTGGAGAGGTATAACACCTGTTCAAGCATTTTTATTACTAACATTTCTATGGTTCAGTTTTGTTTAATTGACATGTTGCATGTAAAGGAAAATACAAATATTTACAACTCTGGAGTCATAGTCCTCATTTAATATGGAGAAATTTCTGTTGGAAGCAATGATTTTCAATCACATTTAAAAAACTTGCTTTCTTAATAATTTGACACATCTAGCCTGCTACTCCTCCCTGTGGAACAGCTGAAAGTTAGGCTTTAAAAAGCCACGCATCCATGCTTCCCCTGGGTTGTCAATGAGTAAAATGCGGGTAAGGGAAACGATACACAGGAAATCAGGTTAGTTAACCTAATGTTGCTTGTGGTACTAAACTCGCAGAACCTTATTAATTTGAATAGATGTATTCTCATGTGTCAGTCTCGCACAGTACTGTTTGTGATAGAAATTCAATTTCCTATTTGATTATTCTTACATGCTATCTTAAGTTACAATCTGGGGAGCATGCAACTTTCATTTTAGGGAACTAGCAGTTGAAGACAACATCTATACATAGTTTCTTCAGGCAATTTTTTTTTCTTTTTTTCTTTTTTTTAGTTAAAAATACAGATACACGGGGGAAAAAAGTATGGTAATGTCTGCTAAAAGTAACAGCCCTCCTGCACTTCCCATTTAAAAATTAGAGCAGCCTTGATTTATTTGCAAATCTGCCCATGTGACTGCTTTGTCTTAAGCTACTTTTGAACAATAAATCAGTTTTACTGTTGGTAAGGAAATGTGACAGAAACCTCATGTTTATATAGCACGCTGCAGTTTTTATTTAAAGTGCTCTGTTTCACCTGCCCAATTTATTACCTGCACATATAAAAATTTTAAGTAGGTAGAAGTGTGAAACTGTTGACAATAAACAATGGCTCATCCTTTAAATGATGTGGTTGGAAGATGTCTTTCAGAGGAAGAACAAGAATGGACTGAGAAAGATAAAGCAGTATTTATTAAAGGTTTTCAACTTGTGCCACCACTGAAAGGCATTAGGTTTTTTAACTTGGAATCATTTTTATTGTTTACAGAAAGAATAAACAGCCTAGCTGACATCAGAAAACAGGAGCCTAAGGCAGAAGAGGAGAAGCTTTCTAGTCAAGTGAAAGACCTGCAGGACCCACTCAAGGCTGCTGCTGGTCATAAGGAGATGCTGCCTCAGTCAGAGAAGGAGCTGAATCCTGAAGATGAAAAACAAGTAGCTGGGCAAGATGTGTTACAGCCAGCTGCAGAGCAGGCTGCCAGTGAGGAAGTTGAGAGGGAGCAACTCCTGAATTATGATGCTAAGCAGGACTTGCCCCCCATAAAGGCTGGTATGTAGCATGCCACATATTGTTAAGCAGTAAAGACATGAAAGCGTGGAATAGGGCATGATTTCTGCAACAGTGGTGGCAGCTGGCCAGACTTAATATAAGGTTTCCTAAAGGTTAATATGAGATGTAAAAAGTTAGCCTCCAGCAGTATTCTACAGTCTGTGGGTAAAGATGGAAGCTTCTGTTTGTACAACATGGAGCTAACCAGGACGTGTTCTTCTGCATCACTGTAATAGCCTTCCTGTCTATCTCCATTGGCTGTACAAGGCATTTGGGGAATTAAGTCCCAAAACTGTTTGGTATTGAGGCTTTGTAAGAATGATGCATTTGAGAAGGATGAGATGTTAACCATCCGGAGTGTTGATGAGCAGAGAGACACTATGTAATAATGTTTTGCATATAGTTTTTTTATAGAGTTGTATAAATGCTAGCTATCCCTATTTCAAAATAAGCTAGCATGCATACAACTCTACCTAAGGCTTCAGGTATCTACAGTTTATTGTTGTGAGTTTGCAAACTGGAGATCAGATATTGCAAAGTTGCCAGTTTCTGGCATCTGCCATACATGACCCTGAACCATGTGTCTCTACAGCAGAGTACTGATGTTGTTCCTAAAGCTGACCAGGATCTAGACATCCCTCTGTCTTGAGGAACCTGGTCTCAGGTGGACCCAGTAGCCCAGAGTAGTCAAGAGGAAGACTTAAAGCAGTCAGAGCAGGAATTGATGTCCACAAAAAACTGCTGCTTGTGCTTTTCTAGTAAACATATTCATAGAATCACGAGTAATGATGTTAATGCTGTTGATAACTTGGCAGGGATAAATAATCTTATCTGCATTTTTAAAGCAGTATTTTTCCAACTGCTCCGAAAAGATGCTGGCCAGAGCAGGCTGTCCCCCAAAGAGATGTGAACAGAAGTTACGTAAACTGCTTCCATTTTAACAGGAAAAGATACCCGAAAGATTAGGTTAAAAAAACCCCATCCATAATTCGTGTAAGAAAAAGCTCTGCCATGTAGCCTGTGAAATGTCAGCATGAGCTAGGAAGACTAGCAGGATGTTCTTCAGCCTTGATTGTTGACAAAAATGCCACAGGTTACTGCATAGTTTCCCTGTAGGCAAAGGTAGAAAAAGATTTCTGCTACATTCCATGAACATCCTTTCTCTTCCAATAAAATCTTCTTTTAAAAGTTCGAGACCTTTAGGTCTGTAACTGTAAACATCTATTTGATGTGGTTGTCTGAACATGGACAACTTAAGGCTAAAATCTTTTCAAGCCTGTTTCTAAGCCAGTTACTAATTAGAGGGCTTGGCTTAAGAAAATTCAGAACCACAGATTCCCATCTCTCTTACTGGAGTATGGTTTTTTTTTTCTGTGTAGTTAACTGAAAAATAAGGGTAGTAGTTCAGCAATCAGAAATAATGTTTTCATTTATTTCTGAGCTCTCTATATAAGTAATTCTTAAGATAGTCAATAAAAGTTGCTTGAGATGAATTAATGGCAGGTTGAAGAAAATCTTTAAGATAAAGCACTTTTGTGTCAAGTTAGCACATCATGAAATACTTACTCTTACTTAGAATGTCCCTTAATGTATTCTGAAATTGTTTAATGCTTTTGCTTTCTGTCCACCTGAGTGCTGGCTTCCTAAATCCCAAGAGCTTTTGTCTTTTTCTAGTTCTTTAGACAAGGTTTACAGGAAAAGCTGCTCTGAAATTTAACTGTTTAAAAGCAAAAATAATATGAAAACCTACTGTAAATAGCCATTCAGGCAGAAGCAAAGTAAAATCTCTGCAAGTTTATTACAGTAACTGTCTCTTGTACAGATGACTTTATGGCATAGCATAAAACTAATTAATTTTAATATTTTTCCAGACAAACAGGAACATGAAGCACTGAACCAAGATAGGGAAGTTGATTACAATTTAGATGAGAATGAAGCTGAATCAGAAACGGACAAGCAAGCAGCACTTGCAGGGATTGAAAATGGTAAAAAAGAAAAAAAGTTTTAACTCAAGTACTACATGCTGAGAAGTTTGAGATGGTATTCTGAACATTATCCTGTAGCAGATATAGCTAGCTATTTTCTGTTTCTTCTTTGAACTTTCCCTCATGTTTACAGTGTGACCTACTTTCTGTCTAGCATCACTAAGTAAGTCACTGTTTGACATGCACTGGGAAGGGATGGTATCTGCAGCTTTGTTGTACAGTACTTAACAGTCCACTCAGAATTTCTCCTGCTGTGTTCTAGATTGTTTTCCACATGAAGAACTATCACTTCTACCTCTCAAAGAGATTTATGTTCCTTTTTTTTTCCTAATTAGTTCAAAACCCTGAAGATACGAAGAACCACTTATCTGAGCATAGCGAAGAACGACAGAGGTTGTGAACAAAGGAAGTTCATGATGCAGCTTAAGTCAACTCTTCATATAAATGCAGCAACAATAAGAGTAAAGTGATCTGAGAATGTTTTGATTATCTTCTCAAAGCTTCAGTAAGAGCCGTAATGAAGTAGTATTTTCTCGTGAAGTTTTAGTACTGTTTCAGTGGTGGAAAAAAAAAATCTTCAATCTCTAGAGGCTTGTTTAAAAGCAGCCTGACCTCTGCAATGACTCTTTCCTTCCTACTGATTATAGATTTGAAACCAGCTAGCAAAAAGCTTAGTAACTCTGAAGTCAGCTAACTTGTACAGTCATATACTACAATAACAGTATCTGTGGATTGGTGTTAGATGAGAGTCCTCTGCCAAGGACAGATCTCTCCCCTGAGCAGTGCAGTAGAGAAATTCCAGCCTAGTTTTCAAAGGAGGTTAAGAGGAGCTAACTTAACATACCATAACATGACATAACACAGAAAGGATAACAAATGACCCATGCTGCTGTCTACCACCATTGTGCCTGTTCTGGCACATTTTACTGCAATGTGGGAAGACTTCAAAAGCCACGATCGTAATCCTTGGATACTGTGCAGTATGATGTATTTTCCTGGGCCTCCTAACAGAAGTTACTGGTTTACACTGTCTGTAACCAGCTGAAGCACCTGTAGGAACCTGGTTGTGTTCTTAGCTTTTAGGTTAAGAAAAGAAGGACTTGGACAATAGTGTCTTCTCATTAAGAAATAAGCCAGGGAGAAAGCTGGTTTAGACTTCTGTTCACAAAATGTGTACCACAATATGGTTCAGTTACCACTACCTTGCACAAGTTCAGAGAGTAAAAATTCCAACTCCTGAACCTTTCATGACAGAAGCTATCTGAAATGGTGTGCTGCAACTACCCTTTACTCCACCCAGGTACCATCTTCTACTAAAAAGCAAAAAGGCAAATGCTTGCCTCGTAGAACAGCAGTCATCTCAGATGTTCAAAGTGACCTACATTCTCTGCTGGACTTATGAAGAAGGTAAACTAAGCTAGACTATGCATTTACCAGACATCTCAGTATCTCCCACAGGTGGAGCTGCAGTTCTGTGAAGTCCTATGTTATATATCATGTATCTTATTGCTAATGTTCAATAGCCTTTGTCTTTTCTGTAACTTATTGAATGTAAACTGGAAACTAGTTTACTTGCGATAACCTAGAAATACCCTCTGCTACCTGCGGTATGTGGCCAGCTTTTTGGAAGTTCTCAAGCCTGGCACGTGTGTTTGGAGCAATTTTTGTGAACACGAGCCAACCTCCGTCAAGACAGCATGGGAGCAAAGACATGACTAGCTTCCCAACCAGCAGTTCAAAAATACAGAAACCCCCACAACTGTCTCTTGGCTTTCTCTCAATGAACTTCATTCTGTAACTGTTTTTGGAGGGTGTCATTCCTTATTGTATGAGCTTACAACTCCTGTAACCTTACTTAAGATGCCTAAATATGCATGTAGAAGGTTGGTTTGTTTGTATATGAAGAGTATCGGTTGTCATACATGAAATGCAGAGCTCAAGTCAAATGGTGCCTATTAAGCCTAAATATGTAAACAGTTCACCGATAGCCTTGCTACATGTAACTTGAATTCTTGCAAGAAAAGAACTAACTTCCATTATTGAGTTCCTTGTTACTCTTGTTTTTTCACTATTTAAGCCAGACTTCATGGTTCTGGGCTGCTACTGTCAGTGTAGCAGGGAAAACAAATCCTTGTAAATCAGGAGAGAAAAGGAGGTATGTCTGCTACATAGAATTTTAAATTAAAGGATTTTTAGTTGAACAAAACAATAGGTTAACTTGGAACTGTGGTTTACATAGTGTTTCCTATCACTAAACATTTTAGTTGCCTTAGGCAGGGAAAGATCTTTGCTGTAATCATCTTGGGGTCGAATAACACTAGTCCTTGCTGTTTTTTAAAAAACTAAGCCAAATCCATTTTAGATAAGCATTTTAAAATAAAAATAGTCTTCTCTATTGTGTATTCACCTTATTTTGTACTGCTTATATACTTCTAATGTTCATGAACATGGGAAAAGTCATTATTTTTTGCCTTAGTTCTGTAAATTATGTGGAACTTGGTTTCTCTTCTACTTTGTGCTTCCTTTGGAGAAATACTGAAGGCTAGCCCTGAGCTGCTGTCATGTAGTTCAAGATTTTTAAGATGGGGAAGACTTGTGATTGTTCACTGGAAGGCAGTAAAAGCCAGATGAATTCTCAGTGCCTGCACTAGAGCCAGTTTGCCATCTTTACAGCTACATTTTCCAGGATTTTCATTACTGTCACAGCAATACAGAAACATTCAAATACATTAATCATGATTATAAGCAAACATCTAAAATGGTATACAACCTCCACTGCAGAGAAATGAGGAAAAACTGTGTCTTCAGGGCAGTACTGCTGCTTATTTCAATTTCAAGCTGCCAATTGCTGGCAGACAAGCAGGTGTTCCACTTCCGAGTTTCTTCATTGCTTTCCAGCTCTAGCTCAGCAGTGCTGCTGCTCAGTTGATGGAGTTGAAATGGTATCACTCCACAATACAACTGTATGTTAGGAGAAATGAACAAATGTCTTGCATTGTCAAGGAGGAGTTAAACCCATCACTATGGAAGAAGTAATTTTGCACCAAAATGAAGAATTGTCCTGTCCAAAACAGTCAGACCTGGAGGATTTCCGTGTATGGCCCAGATAAGACTGGGTAGTATGGTTTATCAAAGAGCAAGTCAGCTTTTTAAAGTTTTTATTTTTTTCCTCTTGTAGCAGAAGGCTGCTCAGCACAAAACCTTGCCTTTAGTATTTCACACAGGAGAATGACCTGTTCCAGGAAGGGAAGGGTAGGTTTCGGGCTTCTCTTGTTTGGGATTTCTACCTATACCAACCATTACAGAAGGTGGTAGGATCCAGCAGCAGCATTGCAGTCAGAGCAAGAAAATGAAGGTCATGCAAAAGCTGACTAACCAATGGAACAAATTAGCAATTCCTCTTTTGCAATGACAAAGTAACAAAAGGATTACAAAAAAATTGCGGAGTAGTAAAAATGCAGTCCTCATGTCTTGCGTTCCTATGTTGCTAGTGACTATCACAGTGTTCAGCTATTCAGATTCTCTAGTACCATTACAGTTAAAAACAAAAGAACAAACTGCAGCTGGAGTGACTTACTCCATTTCTCGCTGTCTTCAAGGACAACTTCTACATTTGAGGCAACATACCTCCTACACAATTTACTTCAGTAAAACAAAATCCACTGAATTCAGCACAGTACGAGCTAAATGACTAGGTTTTCTCTGCTCATAATTTCTATGAAGATTATTTTAGCTTAAAGGACTAGGCAAGAAGATAACCCAGTCTTCCTACTTGCAAAGCGAGACAATTTGATGCAATTTAGCAAAAATAATGGAACCTCGTAATCTCTCCAAGTGGTTCGGTTCAAAGCAGAATTTCAGCAGCTCTGCTGTTCCTATTAGACATGAGGCTCTACTGCATTATTTTTACTCTGTCCCAAATGTTACTAAATTCCTAAAAAAACATTTTGTCAGTGCGCATTAAAAAAAAAATCAAATCTGTAATAAATCAATTAAAACTATAACATCCTTCAACAATGCAGTTGATTAAAATCAGCTTCACCTGTAAAACTTCATACAAACCACTTTAAACAGCAGTTGTCATTCAGATAACACAGAAAAGATGAGTATATATATTCCATGTAAAAGTACTTTTATCCTGGAGATCCCTCTCAGTCTGGATACGGTACTAGATATTTCATCTTGCAGATGTTAACTGATACACAGATTATGCTCAGATATCCTACTTTCTGGTAGTAGGTATCCTACTCTCTTGTCTTTCAAACAAGCTTCACAACAGGAAAATACTTATGAGGGGAGAAGTCAAATTCTGGAGGAACCTAGAAATAAGATATTTAAAACATCACACAGCAGTACTACTGAGTTTAATGCTCAGAATGAGGGACACCCTGCAGATAGAAGAAACTTTTAAACCACACAAAAAGAAGGGGGGGGGAGGGGAATAATTCTGGGTATGCCAATCACTCTCCAGTAGTAACGGGCACACAGCTATAGATTGCTGCTGGTGCGCCTCTTCAGTATGCTCCTTCATTCTTCTGTGCTTAGCCTTCCACAGGAAGCCTGAAGGCCCTCTCTTCCCTCTCATCTGCATGACACCTGCTAATCCTGACCAACAGCACCCTCTCCACTGTGTTCACACAGGCTGCTGACACACTGCAAACAATTACATCTTCCTGCTCTTCAACGCCCATATTTGTACATGTCCTCTCACATGCACTTCCTACTTTTTTTTTCCAAACATTTGGAAGTAAGAGTTTTCCATTAATTGCAACAAAAAATTTCCACGGGAAAAATGGATTGTTACTTTCCCAGTTCTTTTAAGAGTTAGAGTAACTGTGGCCTGAATCTGTTCATTCAGCTGGAAAGAGACCTGTGGCAGCACTGCGTGTAGTACTACATTTCACATTTAACTCAACTGGCATTTTCTTACCTTGGAGTCCTTTTTGTGGCCTCCTGCCAGCAGCTTCATGACCACAATATTGGGTTTAGCAACTTTCAGGATTCTACTGACCTAAACATAAGACAGCAATAAGTTTTCAAGTGAAAGCATATGACCTCAGAAGTATTTCAAAGATAATACTCAAATGTTTACATACTCTACAACAGTCCTCTTACAGTATCAATTTAACAGAGATCAGAGGTGTTTTGGATTTGCTTTTAAGTATAAAAGCTGGATTAATGAAATTTAATAAAGGGAGCGCTTATTTTAATGCTCACTTTTTTAATTCAACAGACCATACAAACCACTGCTCTCCATACTATGGCAAGTTCCAAGGCACTCATCCAAGTAAAGATTTAGACAGCCTCTAGGCATCTACTCCCAACACTATGAAACAGTGAGAAGGGAACATTCAAGTACTAAACTGGTGTCTTTTTGCACTGAAGTGCTCTGGGCACACT